GAGCGAGGCGAAAAAATGAGGACCCGATGCCGGGGGCTTAAGTGGAGAGCAAATGTTTTGAGAATGATGAGGGCAATGAATGTACAAATGTGCTTAACACAATTGATGTAGGTATGGATTGTGATAAGAGATGTATGAGCCCCTAATAAAACAATTAAATTGGCTGTGAGTCGGCATTAACGATGGCAGTGAGTTGGGTTTCTTGTTTAACTCTTTAAGAATGGTGTAAGGCAGTGGTTCTCAACCTGTGGGTCACGAGGGGTTGCCTAAGACCATTGGAAAACACAAATATTTCACATTACAAAATTACATATTGTTTTGTGAATAATCACTATGCTTTAATTATGTTTAATTATGTTCAATTTATAACAATGAAAATATAGCCTGCATATCAGATATTTACATTACGATTCTTAACAGTAGCAAAACTACAGTGATGAAGTAGCAACGAAAATAATTTTATGGTTGGAGATCACCACCACATGAGGAACTGTATTAAAGGGTCGAGGTATTAGGAAGGTTGAGAACCACTGGTGTAGGGGTAAAGGCGGTGCCTGGCATACAGTAAATACTTAACAAATGGCTGTTATTAGGTAGTAGTAATACCGTAGTGAGGGAACATAGGGAACACCGGGGCAGATAGGAGACATGGAGGCCGAAGGGAGCACATGGTGAAGGGTCTTCAATAGTGGCTGAATTCATTTGGACTTAATCCTAGAACTGGAGGTGAATTGATGAATGAACAAGAGGCTGTTTTAAAGAGGCCCTTCTAACTGCAAGGAGGAAGTTGGGTAAGAGTGGGGAGTCTGTAAACCGAGTGGATTGAGCGGATTGAGAGAGGGAGAGGGAGTTCTCAGTTGTGACATCCGGGCTGGCATTTGGCTTGGCCAATTGGGATGAAGAGTGCAGGGTAAGGTAAGGGTTTTCGGAGAGATGTCGGCAGGATACTTGGGGGACTTGCACTGGGTATTTGGAAGTAGGGACCTGGCTCCCAGATAAAGGTCTTAGGACTACTGACCTATGGGTCACAGCTGAAGCCAGAGACCTAGTACGAAGGCTCAGAGAGAGTGATAAAGATGAGCATCGCAAGGGGCCAGGGGTGCAGGCTGGATGCTCCCCTTTGTTAGTCAGAGGAAGGAGGCAGAATGTGGTGGAAGCAAAGAGGGAGCTGAGGAGGGCGATGGAGAGAGAAATTAGTAGAGACTAGGCAGGACGGAAATCAGAGATGTCATGGAAGCCAAGGAAGAGAAACTTTCCGGTTGCACCGAGGGTTGAAATGAGCCAAGTGGAGAAAGTCTGTGACAGGCGGAGGCAGAAGTCGGATCGGAGCGGGAGGAGAGAGCTGCTGGTCCCGCACAACGAGGGGGAGGCAGGGCTGAGGTGAGAAGGGTCTCTCTTCGGAAGACCAAGGTCTGTGGAAGCCAGTCAAGGGAGAAGGTGGAGGTAGAGGTGAGAGGGCCATCCCTGTAGAAGGAGGGGCTGGGGCCCAGGAACCAGAGCTGAAGAGGAAAGTGGGGGTGGGAAGGCAGGTGCATATTGTCAGGTCGTGGCTGGGGGGTGAGGGAGGACTTACCGTCAGGCCTCGGTTCTCTCTGAGAAGGATTGGACATGCAGTCATGTGAGGGCAGGGGCCTAAAGAGACCATACTGGAGTTGAGGGCGGGAGGGTTATGAACCTCCAGACTCGCGGGGACGTGCTCAGCAGCGGTCAGGCTGAGACCCCTCGAAGAAACGTTCCTCGGGCTAGTCTGAAGTGTGAGGCGATCTGAGGGGTGCACACATCAGCCATATTGCAGCCCGGGCCTTCAAGTGGACTTGGGGGTGAGGCGCCCCTTCTGTAAGATCTACATCTTACCCCCGGCTCCCAGTGCTCCCTGGTTCAGGTCTGAGAGGCATCAACATTACCAGGGACAAGGAGTC